TGAACGTTTTGTGAAGGAGAGCGGAGTGCTCTGAGCCGTTGGAACGTGCAGTAGTTGCAGCTTTTCTTCGCGTCTTAGTTTTGTTTGGTACAAGGTAACATTTGTATTGCCGTGGACGCTCGTTAAACCAAACCCCTGTGCAGTCGGTAAACCTAAAACCTGCGAAACCCTCGTTTACTCTGTAAATTACAGCTCCAAGTCCTGTGGGTTTTGTTGTGTTTTGTTTTTTTTTTTTAAACTAGATGGGATGTGTCGTATTTTTAATTTGGAATAACTTCAGAATTTTAGCTAGCCGAATTTTAATTGCAGTATCCTACCACTTTCAAATAAAAAAATACTCTAAATAAGTACGAATCATAGGAAGAAACTTGTCCTGTGACCTTTCCCTGGCGCTGGTCCCTGAATTGGTGAGGAGCCCGTTGCGACCCACCTGGAAGTCGATACAAACTTCATGAAGTAAAAAACATTGTCGGCGCTACCCGTCCCTCTTCTTCTTCCTCCTCCTCCTCCTCCTCCTCTCCCTCCGCTTTTTTTTTCGGCTGCGTCCCCGGCGGGAGTGCGGCCGGGGGCTCTTGAAGTAGGAAGGGTAGCGGCTGTTTGGCTTGAGGCCAAATTCCATTTTTTGTTCATCTGCCAGACTTACCGTTTGTTCGGGAAAATAACCCACAAACCCAAGCAAAAATGATTATCGGGTTTCATATGCAGGAGTGCCTAATCTGAGATGTTCGGTCTTGTTAAGGGCTGTGGCAGAAATCCAGTTACATCATCAGGAGCACATTACACAGTAAGTGTAATTTAGCTGTGAGGTAAGTTTTTAGTCTTGTAAAGGTACCATTATCCATCCTCTGTCCTGGCAGTAAAACCAGAAATGTTTTATTAGAAACAAGCTTTTAAGTATATAAGTCAAGTAATAGGAAATACATCATATACAGGCAGACATAAATCTAAAAAGCAATATGGCAGTGACAGACAATAAAGAATAAACTCTATGCTGCATTTGATGTTTTGAACATAAGTTTAAAAAGTTTTTTTAAGAAAGATGAAAATACTAAAATGCATTTAAAAATTAGACTTGGCTTTCAGAAGAGAAACACGTGTCAAGGACCACTTCAGACATGAACTAACCTAATTTAGTGATGCCAGCTATTGGTATAGTCACTGCTATAAATGTGGATGTGTTTTAACTGCATTTGTCATGTATCTTGCTAGCTAATAGAAACTGAGGAAAGTTGACAGAAAAAAGGACTAAATGTAACTGATGTGGCTGGGGAAAGGTGGGTGGCTGACCCACCTCTCTTGTCTTGTGACCCGGAGAGCACATAGGCCACAAGTTGATGCTTTTGTTGTATTTATCTGTTCTGAGTAGTACTCTGCATGTAATTTGGAAATCGATATTTTATGCTTGAAATATTAAAATAGGATTTGCTTGAAATATTAAAACAGGATTTGTGGGAACACTTTCATTTAAAAAAAGTGGTCTCCATTGTAGAATCCATGCCACATATTAGATTTCTGTAACAGAGAGAAAAGAAATTACATAATTTTAATGACCAAAGATTGCTTTCCAAAGCCATACATATAATTTAAAATGAGGTATAGTTAGTGATTGTATAATGGTAGTATTTAAAGATCTAGGTGAAGGAAGGGCAATTACTATGGCAAATGCTATACTAGTCTTACTATACCTTAGTAAAAAGGAAATTTTGTGCTCTTGATACTGCTGAAACATTGCTGTTTTGTTACATAAGGACTACATCATACCATATATGCAAAAAAAAATAAAGTGAGCTTGCATAGGTAGACTTTTTTTAATTAGTGAGCATATGACTTCATAATGTTAACATTCTTTAAATTAGTGGGTTTGGTTTTACATACCATGCTGGATACTTGATAACAAACCCAAACAATCAATAGCTTCAACTTGCTCGTTATTAATGCAGAAATAAATTCCTACCTCCAGAAAAAAATACACAAGCCTCTCTACATTCCTCTTCACTCTCAAAGCGATTTGCATTTCCATTGCAGCCACCATACCAAAACTGAGCACAAGCATTGGCTTGTTTATCATAATACCATTGTATGATATAAACACGGCATGGCCCTTGATCCAGCCTTAACTTGCACCGGAGGTCCAGGATACTTTCTAAAATAAAGAAAAAAAGGAATAGAAACAATTCAGTTTGTAAAAGACAATTGTATTGCATAGATTTTAACTTTCAAACTCTGGTTTTATTTTAATTTTTTCTGCTAATGTTATACAGCAGTTTAAGATTAATTTTTACTTCTAAAGATGTTAGCATTGAAGGCAAGTTAAAAGTGCATCTTAGTAGGTCAAGTAAACTGTTCCTTTACTGGCATGGTTCTAGTAACTCCAGAAATAATAGTATTATGACTCCAAATACAAGAACAAACAATATGAATCTGATAATTTTGAAATCTAATTTTTGAAATTTAATTATCAGCAACCAGTCTTGTGAGCAACCCAAAATTCTAAGCCAAAGAACTGTAAGCTAGTTGCATCTGCTGTTTTCGAACCACAAGTATGACCATCATCCTTCTGCAGTACATTGCTTCAGTACATTAGTTCTCTTTGTGGTGTGGGAGAAAAGGCATTAGAATAGTGAGAAGAATATAAAACTTTAGTCTTTCTTTTGTAAAATATTTGTGCTACTTACCTAATACAATGGTAGTAATTATGTACATACTAGTTAAGTTTGAATGTAAAGCTTGTTGGTCTAATGATTCCTACAGATATGCATTAGAGGACTGTGACATACTAATCTAGTCTCACTCACTTTAATAATACCATGAGATAGAAAATACTTTTCCTTCAAGTTTAATGTTGTGACATCAATATTCTGTCTTCGGCAATTGGTATCTTGACACTTTAAAAAAAAAAAAAAGTTATTGCCAGAGACAGAATAATAGGCATGTCCATGTTCCCAGGGAGCATGGGAACATGTTTCTATTGCTCTCTTCTGTTGCTCCCATCATAATACACTATTACTGGAACTCAAAAGTGTGAATCCCCCAAATGATGAACAGAATACATTTGGACATTTCATATAAAAAGAATCAATCCTTTGAGCAGTCAGCTAATTACTATACTTTCCTTCAAATGACTAAACACCGTTTTTTCCTATTTCTTCTCTGAAGGAGAAATCTGTTTTCCGTCCAATTCTGAAATCATTATCTTCTCTGTCTTTAATGAAGCCTCCCATCTCCACAGACTGCTCCTTCTTGGCTGGTGAATTACCTGCTCACTGACCCACCTCAGCTAGCTTCTCTTGATGTCATTTATGAGCTCTGTCTCAGGTTATAGCTGACCTTGCTTCTGTTGTAAGTGGAGCGGTGGGATTTGGAATTTGGGAAGACAAGAACTGGTGAACAGGCTGGACAAGAACTGCAACTAGGATCTATTATAAAATCCTGAAATGAATTCTCTTCCACAGCATGGGCTCATGAAATCTTCGGAGGGTGGAACAAAATTATGCTGATTTAAAGCCTTATGAAAAGTTAGTATCAGGATAAGAGGGAACAAAATGAAAAACTAGTTATGAGCTATAACCTGGTCTTGGTGTGAGCCCTGCAGTTGAAAGAGATGATGTCATCACTTTGTCTGATGATGATGGTTTAGATGGCAATAGTGGTACCACAGCTGCAGGTGAAAAGAAGCAGAATGAGACACTGATTTTTTGATCAGCCAAAAATGAAGAAATGATTGATGATAAAAATACCTCTAGTGTCCACTGTTAGCAAGGATGACTGTTCCTTTTCCTCTTGTTCCTCTTCATAGGCTTCATATACTACCACAGGAGGTGCTTTGGTCTGAAATAAGCATTTGATTTTCTTTGTTTTTCAGATATTGTGAAGTGTCTCAAAATGAACAAGCCCTTCATCACTCAGAGGTTTTCTAATGTTTTTCCTTCCCATTTACCCTGACTTCAGTGTTAAGAATCAGGATTTTAACCTCACCTCGTTGGTTAACTAGGAGGGTTGTCAATCTTAAACCTGGCATATATATTTTTTTTTTAGTTGACCTTTACAGAATTTTATTTATAAACTTAAAAATATAGACTACAATTGAGTTTAATTACTATTCTTAGACTTAATTATTACAGCGTAATTGCATTTTAATAACATTATGTTTCACACTGTGGCACAAATATTACTGTATTAAACATAGGAATAATAATCCTTGTAACAGTATCAGGAATAAATTATGGCCATTAGATAACTGCCTGCATGCAACATCAGAACTCTTACTCGGAACAACCAGCTCCGAGCATACCAAGTTAAAGGAGCTATTACAGTACCTGTCCTGTAGAAAAGTAGGGGGAAAGTTACATATTACATCAGGCAACAGAGAAGGATACATATAGAAAACTTTTGCTCATTAAAGCCTGCTGAATTTTCATACCGGAGCTAATGGTTGAGGAAGATCGCCAAGACTCAGAGGACTTTCTACTGTAGATAGTCCAGCTGTCTGTGCTGAAAGTGATTGGCTATTAACATTGTTGTTCTGAAGTATGTAATGTAAAGAACTTGAAGACACTGAATGGAGAGAAGGTCCCCTTATGTTTGCACCATTTCCATTATGGTTGTATATTAAGGTGCCGTGTTCATCTTCACAAAATTGGTTGACTAATTTGGACTCCAGAGCTGTTTAAAAAAAAGTAAAAAACCTCATAATACTGAAAAATTTAATGTATTTTTTGAATTTGGATTATTTATATACATAAATAATATACATGTAATCCAGCACTCCTTTGAATTATTTATATGCATCTAAAGATTATTCCAGGTTGTCTGGACTATGGCTTTTATTTGTCACAAATTTGCCAGCCCGTAAGTCCTCTACATGGTACAAAATACAATGAACTCACCTAAAGGTGTTCATCTGAGCTTAGTAACAACTACTAGTTGGTAGTGGGAAAATAACTGCTTACCTTACTCATGTGAATAACCCAATGAAAATTAGTTATTTCCCAATGAAAATGAATAAGTAGAATTTACAGCAGTGAGTTTGATTCTGGTTTACAGTCCAGCAGATTTACAGTGCATGAGCACTTACTCAGCTTAGAAAGCTAGAGTTTAAGCAGCTGTTTTCCTACCCTGTAGGTGACATCCCCCGTTGGCATGATGAATCACTGCCCTATAATGTGACTCCTTAAAAGAAGGGAATCTGTATCTCTAGGTTCCTATTACTTTGCACCTTGTAACTAATCCTGATCAGCATCAAAACATAACATATCCACAAAGATAATGCTTTGCCCCTCCCCCCCCCGGGCCCTGTTCTGAGAAGCATCAGATACAGTGCAGAATAAAACTGCAATGAACGCACCTGGAAGGGTATTAAAGTCATCAATGAGATACATGTGTTCTCCGTCTGGATCTGAAGCAATCAGATTTAGTTCACGCACAAACTCAACCTGTGTTGGATCTGAAGTATTTACAATTCCTATTGCATACATTTCGATGTTTGCTGCATGAGCCTCTCGAACAACAATATCTAGTTTTACAGCTTCTCTCTTGTCTGCTTGGCCATCTGTTAGCACAATAGCTACTTTTCGCACTCCTGTTCGAGCACCAAAAAATCCTTCCTGGGTTGCTTTACGG